GATGATGATGATGATGATGATGATGATGATGATGATGATGATGATGATGATGATGATGATGAAAACATTTTCCAGGGCTATGTAACTTTATACATTATGCAGCAGATTTCTACAGAACTTTTTTAGGATTTAAATGCTTAATTGAATAAATAGCAAATCCAAAATCAGCCAGACAATGTAACAAAAGAAATTACACATTGACTGTCCGGATTTACTGATTGCATTTATTATAAATTAACTTGCCTTTTTTAGGCTCCAGCTTTTGGAAGAATTAAGTGATTAATCACATTTTCCATAAGGTTAATTCAAAGTGTTGATACAGTTGCAATATTCCAGATAAATACACATGTGGTAATAATCCTTTTTTTGTGTACTACCATATTCCATAACCATTACTGCTGTACACAGATTTTTTTTGTTGATGTTTTATGTACATCTAACGAGGTACACATTACTTGTAAGTAATCAAATTAAAGTAAACCTAAACATTGTATGTGATAAAATATAGGTTGATATGCATTATGATAAAAGCATGAAAATTGATCTTTAAAAAGTGCTTTCAAGGGGCTTCTGAATATCTTAAATGATAAAAAAATAGTATTGTTGCAACCGACTTCATAAGTACGATAAAGTTCTCACCATAGCTTGTAAAACTGAACTCAGGTTCAGAAAAACTGGTTAAAAAAAATGTAACTTGACAAAAAATGTTCCCCAAAAAATAATGTTTTCAAATGAATCTTACTTTTTTTTAGCCATGTTAAAAATCTGTGAAATCAAATACATAAACTAAAAGCTTTTATAAAATAGCTTAAAAAAATGGAAGTTGCTTTTATCCTAATGACCTATAAAGATAAATTGTCTTTATACTATTTCATGTTTTAAATCAACACAACCAAAAACCTTTTGGACTCAGCGTTTTACTCACCTGCCATCTTTGTTGCTGTCCAGTAGTTGAAAAAGGTGCGATATAGTGCTGTTCTGATGTCTAAAACCTGAAAAAAAGAAATACATGTCATAACTTTTAAACAACAGGAAGCTGACCGTGTCATTGAAGAAGCAACTTTTCTTTATTTCTAATAACCAGTCGCTGATAACTGTATTCATCAATCCCAATATAAGCTTACAAGCATCAAGATAGAAGGAAAATAATGAGAACTAAAGCTGGATTTAAAAAGTATGAGCAGCGAGAGTAGAGAGAGGAAAATCAGGCAATGAGTCAGTCATGCTGTGCAGGAACATTTGCTTTCCCTGTAGGAAAAAAAAAGCGTGTCTGAGTCCAAAATGCAATCAGGAGGCTTTGTGCTGCAACGGCTGCTATGACAGTGATTTCCCTCCTCTCTCCGTTCATATTCACAGGCAAATGAAAAGGAGAAGCATAAAGAAACTTCCTGAAACCTCCTATCCGCAAGAGCATGTGACCCCGACCGATTCAGCTTTGTGAATCGCACTCACTGGAGAGGAAGGGAGAGCAGGAAGTTCTCTGGTGTTTGGAGCTGAGCATCTCCAGAATCATTTACAGAACAGAGAAGGTAAAAGGGGCAAACTGATTGGCCCCTACGTCTGGGGAAAATCACTTTACATAATGCTAATTGCACATCCGCTGCAATTACCTTTCCATACTAATTACAGAAATGTTAATTGTAAAATTAGCATTTCTTTTCCTCGCTGTGTACAGTGTGAAAAGCTTATGCATAGCATGTGCAAAACTAGAAACATAAAAGCGATACAAGAACATCTTAGGACCCTGCTGTGACAAAACTGCTATGGAAGCCCTTCTTATATGAGAGCAAAACAGGAAGTGATGACGCACCTTAAAATTCCCTCACCTGTCAAGCATTTCTTAAACTCAAACTCTTCCTTACTTGTCAGTTTGTTTGTTACAAGGGGCTAGACTATTCTAGTGCGTTATATAAACAAAAAAAACAACAATAAGTTGATCCAAAACTGCAGCCAGACATTATACAGAATTATAACCCATTTTTAGTTACTCCTCACTGTTTCACTTTTAAAGCTTGTTATGCATTTCTCCAACTGAGCCATTTCTTTTCAAGCTCAGGTTTTCCAGTGTTTCCAAAAGGAAGGCCATTAAAGGTATAGGGGAGGGCGTTCTTTTTCCTAGTGGATCATCAAAATAAGTGGTTCTCCTAATTGTCAATCACAGGTGAATTATTTCTGCGAATGCACACTTTCAGCTCACCTTTCTCACCGCTGTTCTTTGAAAATGGCCGAGGGCCGTAAGATCGAAAGTGTCTACGTTGGAAGAGTTTTTTTATGCGATGGCATACACTGAAAGCACAGGTCGGGCTTCCCACTGATTCTTCGGTTGCGAAGTTTCTACCTGACAGCGAAAGGTTGACATTTTATTTGGAGAAATCCTTTTCACATCAATGCTACTAAAATGCGGAGAAATGGGCTTGTGCATGCTCCCTCACGGTTGCGCATGTGCTTTTTTTTTTTTTTTTAAAGTGGAAAGGCTGGTTCTTTCAAAAAAAATTAGGAAAATTCTCTCCTGTACCTTTAACTCAACAACATTTTCTGGTAAATATTTTAATAATTAAAGTTACGTCTGGTCTTTGTTACGTTCCACATTTGATGCTACTGCTCCCAAAAAAAACGTCAGGGGTCAAAACATTTTTCTACCAGAAATCAGTTTTTTTTTTTTGTTTTTTTTTTTTTTACTCCTTTCACAAATAATTTCATAAATTTCATAAGTTTTTTTTTATACAATTAAAAAGGGTTTCACACATTAAAGGAAAGGTGCAGAAGTGTTCCTAACTTGTCAATCTAAAAAATATCTTTTGTCTATTCCCAGCAAAATTAAATAGTAATAAAAAAAGAAAAATCTTCTTTCCAAGCCCAAACTGTACATATACTCAAAGATAATATATGGGTGTGTCACAGTCTGACGAAAAATATCCGCAAATGTTCCTTTTTAAAAGAAGAGAATTACAAAAATTCTCCGTCTGTATCAGCTCCATTTGTAAGAGATTTGAATTGTTTACCACACTGAATAACTGACTGCACTTCTTCTTGCTCTGATCCTATAGATTGGACTGATGAAGCCTCTCCTGTTTTCTTCTGATACTTCTAAAAGAGCTGCTCCTTCCATCAATGCATTATCGTTTTTATATCAAATGAAGTACCTCAGAATGTGCTCTAATATTTTTCTTAGTGAGAAGATTCTTCTCAAACCCTGAAACGGTCGTGGCAGATGACTGCTCACCACGACTGTGCAATTTGTCCTTATCCATTTTCTTGTGCCTACAACTCCCCATTTATGCACCATATGCAGTTACTGAAGCAACATCTTCTTTTGTTTTTGTTTTTTTCTCTCCATAGAAGGACTTTTAAATACAATTTTGGGATTAAACAAAATAAAACAACATAATTGATTCAGTAAGAAAAAGAAGACAAAGATTGTTTTGCATAGGGCAGGGGGAAGATGAAATGCATATAAACCATCAATTAATAAAAAAAATAACTAAATATTTATTTCAAACCCATGTGTTATGGTTCCAGTACACTGAGCCTCGGCAGAATATGACACATCTGGCATTCAGAAGATGTACTTCTACAATATGCCTTCCAGTAGCTCAGCAGTGAGAGTAGAAAACTATTTTCTAGACTATGAACATTCAAAATAAATTAACCTTTCAAAGTTGGAAATGTAAACTTAGTGGTATTTAGAAGATTAAAAAATGATCCCTTTTGTTAAATGAGAATTAGAACTGTAACAGTTTGGTTCCGGTGAGCATATAAATGAGAGAAAACAACACAAAATATCTAAATGTAAAAATAAAACAGCCTCTAAAAACTAATCCCCCTGATCAGCACTGTGTTTAACCAACATGTATGTAGTCTTTCTGTTGTGTTAAATGATCAGTGTGAATTAAAGGAAGTAGGACTGTGGTTGGTTCTAAAAGACTTTAAACTTTAGGTTTTTATCTTTTTTGTTCTTCATTAGCCTAAAACCTGAATATTCTAATGGATCATCTAAATATATTTGAATGCCACACAAACATTTTCATTGGCACATCTCATCTAATTCCTACTCTGGACTAGGGCTGGGTGATATGAAGAAACTTAATATCACAATATCTTTGGGCTATATCACAATACACTATATATACGATATATATCACGATATGATCAAACAATCCTGCGAAGGACTGGTGACCTGTCCAGGGTTTACCCCGCCTCTGCAACGTAGAGAGCTAGAGATAGGCACCAGCACCCCTTGCGACCCAAGCTGGGATAAAGTGTGACAGAAAATGGAGGGATGATCAATTAACCTTGAAAAACTAATGTTTTTAGCCACATAGTGCCTAAAGTTGCATTGGTATATAGATAGAGGGTTTTCACAAAGTACAATATTGCAACATTAGAGCTCTTTCGTAATCAACACTGGACCTTAAAAACTGAACATCCCAGCTGCCGAAAGGAACACCAAGGAAAAATCTGAAACACAATAAACATTTAATATAAAGGGGCTCTTTTATGCTCTTTTACAATAGTCTTAATTTTGCACTGGATGACCTTTTAATTGGTGGAATAAATTTGTGGTACTTCTAACTTTTGTGGCAATGGTTTTTCGGCATGTTTTGCAAATTACCGTATTTTGTTCCACATGTCAATTCCAAACCACTGCCATAGTATTGATCCAGTGCTGTTTTATCTTTGGAACCAGCTCGTCTGGGTCCTCTTCAGACTTATTTTCTATTTTAGCTTAGTCTTAGACTGTTGCCATAGCTCTCGCTGTCTTGTTGTCATAAGTAAACGCACATGCTCGTCGTAGTGCATGCCAGAACGCTTTCTACTTTGGAGGGGGAGCGAGTGATGCGTTTATAGCATGTGGGGGAAACTAAACTCCCAGTGAATTAAATACATAAAGATAAAGTCAGGCTATTGCCTATTGTTTTTAAATGTATACTCATAACTGATAAACTGTTGGGAGCGTTATCACAGATCCTTCCCCCCAGCAGCTGTAAGACTATAACCATCACTGCTCTCAACAATCTCAATAAGTTGTTACATTTATGCTGATTTTGCGCAGTTTCTGTCTTAGTCACTTAAATAATATGCTGCTGTCATCTTGCACATCTCTGATGTTGCGCAACTTTCCCATATCTTCTACTGTTAAAATTTCAACAGCTGTATATTAGTTATTTAATTTCCGGGTGACAGGACATCTCTGTCACTTTTTCTCTTATTTTCATACACTTTTTTTTATTATTTTAATGATTTTGCTGCTGTAAAACCACAATTTTCCTATGTTGGGACAATAAAGGAATTTTTTATTCTATTCTATTTTATTCTAAACTGTATAATACCTCTAACCAAAAACATTTAGTGTATTATCTTTTTATTG